GGATCACGAGCTAGGGCTTGAGGTATTTGAAGATTACTTCAAAATTAGTTCAATTAGCGGAACCTCTCTCTCTCAATCGATCTGAATCGATCTCTCTGTCTCTGGTGTTTGTTTCTGGCCAATGCATAAACAGATTTTTATACTAGAGATGAGAAGAAAAGGAAGTATCATCCTCTCTTTGACCGTGGAATAAACAAAATAAAAAAAAATTCCATCAAATCGTCGAGGAAATGTCATGGAAGGAAGGCGGAATACCGTAAGTGAAACGGAGGAGGATTAAATTAAAAAAAGAAATTACTTTAAAAAAGATGTATGTACATATATGTACAGTATGCACTAATAAATTTACCTTCTTATCAAACGTTTTTTAAGTTGTAATGGATGCAAACACCAATTCATTCTATGCTCACTTGAATTCAAATTTACTTCTTATTTTTGCATCTTATTATTAATAATATTCATTAAAAATGTATTTTCTGTTATTTGTCAGTGCATAAATATAATATTGTCAAATACAGACAAAAATGAACCAACCGAGATTTATACTTCATTTGCATCGTTTCCAACCACAGCTAAAGGAAAATTTTCGCTTATTGAATTCGCCCCACAAGGTTTTCATTTAAATATTCATTCCATATTTTGTCAGTCCATTTCATTAGTGAATTTTTATTGAGATTTTACCTTGTTATTTAGATCTCTGAAATTCTTTTTATCACTTCATTAGTGAGTTACTATTGTTACCCAACTTTTTGCTGTTACTTTGTTTCTATTATCATCGTAGATTTCTATGATTTCAGGTTTGACTGAAAATAAATCCTCTACATATCATATGGGTCCTAATGAGTTGAAAACCAACTTCTTGAATTTTTGTGGGTTGGACTTGCTTGTTCCCATTTAGACCTTTTCATGGGCCGGGTAGCCCGACGGCCCAGCCCGGCCCGGCTTAACACCCCAGTCAGGCTTGAGATTTTTTGAAAAAGCTCGGCCCGAGCCTGGCCTGGCCCAACTAATTTATATAATATAAAATATATAATATTTATTATAATATATATATATATTAATAATTTAATATATATATATATATATATAATTTTTATTTTTTCTTTTAAATTGCTCTCTCTTTCTGTTCAGCAGCATGAACTTTACTTCAGGCTCAGGTCCAGCCCAGGCTTTGGGCTTTTTATCAGGACCGAGAATAAATACATACAAAATAATATAAAATATAAAGTTTTGCACTCTATATATATTTATTTGCATTTGTACCTCAGGCTAAGGCTCGAGGCTCAGTTTAGAAGAGTACAAATATAAATACGAAGATTGTACACTTTCCAAACTGAGCGTAAAAATCAGTAAATTCCTTTGTGTCTTTGTATTCGTAACACAATCAATGAAACAATCAAATGAAAAGCATGTCTATCTAATACCTAAAGAATAGGCTCAAGCTGCTCAACAGCATAGGCTGTTGAGACAGTTTCTGGGTTGGGGACGTTCTGGGCATTTGGCTGTTGCGATGCTGCTCAACAGCATGGCAATTATCTCCATGTTCCCCGAGGATCTTATGAATAGGGATGGCAATTATCTCTATTTCCCCGATTCCGGGTGGGATGGATTTTCCCAATGGGAATGAGAAAATTTTAATTATTTTAATTTGACTTTTTTAAATAAAATAAAAAACAAAAACAAAATGGTTAACGTCATAAAAAATCACGGTGAATGGGGATACCCGTGGGGATGGAGATGCCTGCCCTGCCCCGTTGTCATATTCCTACTTGTGAAGCTCCCTTATATACCTTTCATCATTGTCATCACAGCATTCGTGCTATCTGAGCCTGAAATTAACAATCACACACCAAGCTAATAAACTGGAGGAAGAGAAAGAAGGGCAACAAACACTACAAGTAGTAGGTAGATAGTTGAGTTGATCATCGGGAGAGAGGGAAGCAGCGCCGAGAACGGGACATGGAGAGAAGGGGAATTGGGGGGGACGGGGGGATGGGAGATGCAGACGAGTATGGAAGTGGTTTCATCAGAGAGTCCCAGGGGGTGTTGGAAGATAAGTCTTAGTCATGGGTCGCACTGGTATGGCGCCACCATGAACAGCCCATGGCTGCAGACATTCTCCAGATTGAAGGTTGAAACCGACTCCCCAAGCGGCAGAGTGAGAAAACACGAGACAACGACGATGACACCTCCACTTCTTGTAGCCTGTGGCCATCTCTTCTCTCGTCGGACTCCTTTCTCCATAGAATCCTCTGATCTTGCTTGTTCAGCAAGGGTAGACGAATCTGAACTCTGATTACCGTTGACAAGAGAGTCCAGCTTCTAACAGTCGCTGATGATAACAGTCCGGCTTCTACAGGGCAAAGTCCAAAATACTTGAGGGGGTCGTTGGTGATGGCTGTTAATCGCTGCCGGTTGGAAAGGGAGAGAGTGAGAGTGACCGGGGAAGGCAGAGTCCGGGAGTCTCGAGAAGGAAGTGGAATGGAACGAATGAGAAGCCGACGGCATGAAGGATAAACTCTGTTTAATTCATTTCACGCATTACGCCACGTCGCCACGACCCAAAAGATGCGTGGCACGTCTTCGTGCGGCGCGAGCGGTACAAGTACGGACTCTGCCCTAATACTCTAATAGAAGCCGGACTCGTGCCACTATCTTGCTATCCTCCAACTCCAATGAAGCACATGCCAGCGATGAAAATTAGTTAAGTTCACATGATGTTTTGAATTTATTTAAAAGCGGAAAATGTGCTTGTCGTGATTCTCGATTTTCCGATAAATTTTAGTAATTATCAAAGCATAAAAAAATTAATTAATTGATAGATTGTTGAGCTTTTTTATTTTTCTTTCTTTTGTTCTTTTATGTTTTTTTTTTAACCAACGGATTGTTGATTTGGGGCTTTGAGCTTCACCGGACGTTTAAGTAAACTTTGCATTTTAATGCTATCGAGCAACCCAATCTTTGGATGTTGTATCAAATAATACTTCTAATTTTTGTAATGTATGTTTTGTTAAGAAACTTGATATATATATATATATATATATATATATATATATTAATTAACTAAATAAAATAATCCATATATATTGATATTGTTCCTAATTTCTTTTTATATTTTCAAATACAATTTATTCCTTCATATTTATTTTTATTAGATTATATCATTTCTGATATAATATATTTTTATAATTTTATTTTATAAAGCTTTACTTAATTTACGTATGTTCTAGTACTTTTTCATAACCAAATTTAAAGAATGTTTTTGTAATGAGGATAAAAAATTAATACCAGCAAGGGAGGGGGCGGGGTCTGTAAGAGTAGGGGCGAGTGAATTCAAATGGAGCAAAACCCGCTTGCAGGAAGGCGTTGGGGGGCTTAGTCATGGTCCAAAGTCTCTAACCCAGTCCAAATGCTATTTTTTATTACATTAATATTATTATTTTATTTGACAATTATATTTAAAATTTTCATATTAGTATAATTTATTTTTAAATAAAAATAATTTATAAATTGGTAGATCCTACCATTACTTGTCATGGGTGAACATGCGTATGGAGATGCAGTTTGTTTTTCATGTGATACATTGAGACATATAGTGAAGATGCAATTTTAAAGAAAAAGCAAGGATATATTTTTTGGTTAAAATGATATTATTATTATGAATGATTTTAAGTTTAAATTGTTTTATTTTATTTATATCTAACCAAATAATCAAGTTTTCTTGAATTTTGGGGATTGTCATACTTAAAATATTTTAGGTCTGGTTTGTTTTTTGGTAAGTTATTTATACGGGTAAGTGTTTTCTAGGAAAAAATTATCTAAATGAATTTATCCATATTCTTTTATTTCCCAGGTAAATAAGATAATGATCCTTTTAACCATAAAAAGTCATTATTAAAAAGGAATAATTTTGTCCCATCCAAGTGTTAGCAATTTTCTCCCTACTTAGTAAAATTATTTACCCACTTTAGAGATGAATTGAAAAAATAAAATTTTCATGAATACCACATAAATTTGAAAAGAAAAACATAAATTTTTTGTCAATAAAAACTAAAATCCTATTGACCAACATTCTCCTCTCAAAATCTAAGAAATAAGTAGACCCTTAAAAAATTCATTTTTTCCCTAATATGAGATGCATTGTGTCCGATTTGAAGCTCAAAGCAGTGAAACATACGGCTCACAAAACTTGAAGTTTTAGCCTCAGCAGAACTATAAGGCAGTTGTATTTGTTAGTTGGGACAGTGAGCCTATCACGATACTGAATCGGGTCAACCTCTACATAAGAACTGTTGACTTGATCAATGACTCAGTGATTCATTTAACCCATTTAACGGGTCACAGAATTTTCTTTTTGAAATTTTATAACAATGACATCACAGCTTGACCTGTTGACCCAAATGGTTAAGCCATGATCCATTGACCCAAAGAAAAAAAAACATTGGTGCTGAGACATTCCTGTCTTGTTTTATTGACAAGGTATGCTGGGCCCAGGTTGGAGTATAATACTTGCTATCACTCTTGGTGGTGTAGCTGGTGTTACCGTCTTGACAAATTGGGATGAGAGGTGTTATTTCCAAATGCATTAACACAAGTTGGGTTGGCCCAATCCTATCATGGTCACTGGATTTCAAATGTGATCCACTAATAAATTAGATTCGGATTTCAAATGTCCAATCCATTCATAAATGGGTCCACCCCAATTGCATCCAATTAAAATCAATTTATATTTACAACCAAAATAGGTGTAAATGTTAAATTAAGGCTCACTAATTTAAAGTCATTTTTTTAGTTCATTTAATTAATAACTAGCGAGGGGCGCCCGTGCTAAACACGGGCGATGAATATCTAATTGCATCAATTGTAAAAAATTAAGAAGAAGAAGACAAAGAGTTTAAAAACAAATTGGATTTCGGTTATTACAAAGAAGGCGTTATTGCATAAGTTAATTAATGGCTTAAGTGCAAAGGTTTTATAGCGATTCAATTGTGGATAATGGATTATGCTTGAACTGCAAAAGCAAAATATGATTTGTATTGTTTGAATAACAAGACAGAAATTAATTGTCTGAGTTGTCAATAAAAATAAACAAAGTATTCAATTCAGATAGCAGTGAATTGTAAATGAGTGCAAAAAAAGTTTATGATCGTAGATAATTTCTTGGTGCTAAGGTTTGATGCATTTGCTCCCCAAACTACTTTCGCCAGCATAAAACTTCCTAGGCAAACCTGCAATAATAACAATCAATATTAGTACTAAAATAGTTTGTGTATGTATTAGATATATTATTAGCATAAATATTGTAGTCTTCCAAAAGCATGAGTTGTTAACTATAAATGTTGTATTAGTTACCTGAATCAGCCAACATGTGTCCAATTTCAGATAATAATCCTTGACTTTCACTAATCAGCAGGCATGCTTTTAGCAAAATATCCCTAAGGATGCTCCCTCTTGGTTCATTTAAAACTGGTCAGCCCCGAATGCAACAGGTGCAAAAAATTGGATCATATCTTGGGAGATCCCTTGGATTGATCAGTCCCCAAACTAAAAACTAAGCTGACATGCTATTGCTATGCTAATGCTAAAGTGGGTTGAGATGGTAGAGGAGAACCAGAGTAAGGGGAGTTTACATTGGAAGACGTTTCCAATACACGGTTGGGATGTACCATGGGGTGCCCGTACGTCAATGCATATTCGACTTAGGGATTAATATGGTTCTACCATGGAGCTAATAGATGCCAAGAAGTGCAAACCTAAAAGACTAATATACTGTTGTGACATAGATACTAGATTGGTCTGATGTGAGTTTTAAAAAAATGCATGTTACCGTAAGATTGAACCAAAACTGGGCTGAAATGGTATCAAATCAATGCATACCTATAAAGCTACATGTTGCAACAGCAGGGATCCTGAATTGGGCTGAAATGATGCCAAAACAAAAATGCAGGCTAATCCAAATTTGTAGAATGATTCTTGCTATATGTGAAAACATTTCAATACATTAGAGAGAAGAGAGAGAAAGGTAAAGATGGTTGGAAAATAGGTAGGGCTGGACCCTTAACAGCATCCTGTACATTAACAACGAAGCACAAAATGCTAAATCTGTGAAGAAGTCGATTATTATAAATCATAATATATAATTAAGTAAAATTAAATGACAAGTTTCAGTCAGCAGACACTGTTAACAGCAAACATTAACATCTACCACTGCTAACAGCAAACACTACTACTCCTGATTGGTAGGGAGCAAACAACAAAATACATAAATTATGATTGAATAAAATAACAGTCTTTCCTTTTTTGCAATATCAACCAACCAGGAAAGAACATGGTTCTCAAAAAGCAGATTTTCACCAAAGTCTTTTGAAGCACAGATGTGGACTGCTTGATATCAAAAGAGTTGCAGGTTAAGTTTGTTTATACCATTGTATGTTGCACCTTAGAATTATCCTTTCCTTAAAGCAGGGGGATTCACAAATGTATGCAACTCTTTTGACTATATCAACAGGAAAAAACCAAAAGAAAAATGTATTGGCATAAAGTCCCCTTGTTAAGTGTCATTGGCCCATTACACCCATTTTATTATCCAAGGCATGCACCAAATAAACAAATAAATCGGTTTATTCCACTAACCTTCTACTGATCCCAAACCAAGGATTAGGATGACCCCCCACCCAACAACCAAATTACAAAAGTCAGGGCAGATAGACAAGTGGGCCATGCCAAATGTACTACCAGTATCATGTGAGCATAATAATGCATATATGAAAAAAAAAAAGAAAAAAAGCTGACACATTTGTTAATATATACACAACAGAAACCCTGCATCTTAATCCTAATAATATAGAAAATGTAAAGGGATATTGGCAAACAATGCATGGAACTTATTCTTTGTCAACATTTTTCTTTTCTTTGATTCTTGGTTGTCTTAGTTATCAGTTATTGGAGGGGCTAAAGTGGGCTGTGGTCTAGCAAGTCCCCAACCACAAGAGGCAGAAGTACGGGACAATAATAACCATTAATTATATGGTTTCTTAGAAAAAATAGGAAACTCAGTTAGAACATTACTGTCATCCCCAAACCAAGGTCTAAAGCTGGGAAAATTATTGAGCTACAAGGACATAACATTGGAGGGAGATTATATTTTCAAATCACTGTTAGCTGCCTAGGTATAAAAACCAGGGATCCTATCAGTATAGACATTTTGAGGGAGGTGAAGCAGCTTGTTCAAGAACCAAGAGCTGAGTTGCAACGGATACAAAGAACAACAAATACTATGGCAGTTATCTTGGAAAGAAAGGGGTTTCCAGGGAGGAGCTATATTGAGGAGTTACCAATAGAAATTTTTGAGTTTGGGTCTATATAAAGGAATATATCAGACAATATAAATCAGGATATCTAAGATCTTTGAGGGTGCTTGGCATATTTCCTCATGTTTGTTCTCCTCCATTTGATGATATTCTTATATCAGTAAAAAGGAAAGGAAAGGAGACTACCAAACTCTGGAAATTCGACAACATTAGACTAAATTTTCCCCATCACATTAAAGGTATTTTCTCATGAGAGGAGGCAGAGATTTTATTACAAAAAGTATGCAAGAAGTATATATAAAAGAAAAGAAAAAATGAGAAAGAGAAACCAAAGAAGAAAACAGAAGCCCTGATGAGGGGGGCACCGGACTTCTATACAACATATGCAATTCAGCCTGATGAACAAAAATAACAACCCCAAGCATAATTATGAAGAATAATGCACAGAAACAAAAACAGCATGCTACCAGCTAGAGGTAACCCAGCCCATGTTTAGGGTTGGGGGGTTCATCAACTTGGGTTGGGTGAGGGTTGACCTCAATCCGACCTAACCTGAGTGGACTTGCACCCCTACTACCAGCCAAGCTCAAGCAAGCACCAGCAACAAAACTACAACACTAAGGGCCCGTTTAGGGGGGCTGAAGCCTTGGTTCAGTGCTTTCATTGAGCTGCTTTGATTAAGCTTTGATTAAGCTGCTTTAGAGAAGGCACTAAAAGAAACTTCAACGAAAAGCCATATTTTGGACTGTAACATAGCTATTCTAGATTTTATGGAGTTTTTACCAAACATCGCTTATACACTGTCCAAGCGGGGCCCACCTTGTAAAGCCAGAAGCTACTATATCAAAACCCTCCCAAACAGGTACTAAAAGTAAGCTTCAATGGAAAGCCAGTTTTTTTGGCTGAAAGAAAGCTAATTTGGGCTTTCCAGGTATTTCACCAAACAATGATACTGTAACTTTAGAGTAACAAAGACAGAATCCAATCAATCCCTCCCAAGATCCCGGATAGCTGGGATCAAAGTAAGGGCAAGTGGGCAACTAAGATTTTAGGTATCAAAATGCATGCTACTATTACAGTGGGGGCATTGCCAATAAGACACTCGTTGGCAGAAAAATGCTAATAAAGTTCTTTTTTGAAAAAAGAAGGTAATATAAATTCTACATAGAACACCAATACAATGATTAATCCATAACCTTACATACTGTCTTATTATAATGCATCATTCCAGGATGTAAAAGAAAGCTTATAAGAGTAAATTGACCACTGGTACCTCATTTCAGGTGGTTTAACAGGCCTTCTTAGTACAGAGATACTAGATTGGACTGATGTGTTATGGACACACCGCCCGGTAGCGCACTGCGGCGCAATCATAGGCAGCAGCATGCACAGCAGACCGCACAGCAACAGGCACCGCCTGGCAGCGCCGCACAGCAGCACGCACCGCCGGCAGCACGTAGCACGCACCGCCTGGCAGCACGCAGCACGCACAGCAGGCCGCACAACAGCAGGCACCGGCCGGAAGCACCGCACAGCAACACGCAGCACGCACCGCCCGACAGCGCGCAGCATGCACCGCCCGACAACACGCAGCACGCACCGCACGGCATCAGCACTAGACAGCAGCACGCACCGCACGGCAGCAGCACTAGACAGCAGCACGCACCGCACGGCAGCAGCACACACCACATGCAGCAGCACGCACCGCACGGCAACAACACGCACCACACGGCAGCAACACTGTGAGACGCGTGCATCGCCGGCAGCAGCAGTAGAGCGGGGCCCACACGATAGCTCATCAGGGTGGGTCCACACTTATCTTACCACATCAGCTCCACTCGTCAACTCACCACCAGCTTACCTTATCCCTTATCCCTTATCCTTATCTTATCTTATCTTAAGTAAGAGTTGTGTTACCATTAGGAGTTTTAGTTTAAGTTGGATTACCCTAGCCTARCCGAATCCAACAAGGAATTTCCTTCTGTAATCTCCTATTTAAGGAGCTACGAATTGAAGTAAAGGCATTCAGTTTTCCAGTCAAGAGAAGAGTGAGGAGAGTTCGGGTGGTCTCTTGGACAAATCACCCATTTGGTTTCCCACAATATGGTATGCACGCAAGGGAAGGCGCAAGGTAAAGCAGGGCTTTCTCACCGTGGACCGACCCATGACGAGATCCTACGCGCGGGCCCATAACATGATGTGAGTTTAAAAAAAATGCATGCTACTGTAACAGTGAACCAAAACTGGGCTGAAATGGTATCAAAACAATGCAGACCTATAAAGCTACATATTGCAGCAACAGGGATCCTGAATTGGGCTGAAATGATGTCAAAACAAAAATGCAGGCTGATAGAGCTACATGCTTCAGCAACAGTGGGTCCTAATGGTCCTAATGAGTTGAAAAAAGAGCAAATAGTTCAGAATAGAAAACTAAAACAATCTATCAAACATGATGATTTTGTGGAAAAGAAGAAGGGCTAGGATGGAGTTTTGAAATGGTTGCACTCTTCTGTTATTTACAACAGCAAAAAGGCTAACAGAGGATCACATAAAGGCCAAATTCTACTGGTATTTACAGCAGAATAATGCAGGCCACAACAATGGAAACTCTAAGCATGCGAAGTTCCACTTCATTTTATGCATTTCCAAGAGACAAACAGATCCTAAAGAAACAAAACTTAATGCAATCAGAGTTATTCATCACCAAACCAATATCCAAATAGAATAAGATTAAATTTCATTCACTTGTAGCTCTACTATACAAAATGAGAAAAGAGGAAAGAAACTGAACTGCATAACTATATGATAATTAAAAATAAATAGCAAACTACCTAAAACCACATCTTATTTACAAATATATGCATATAAACAAACATTTTTGAACTTGTTGTTTTTCCGTCCTTAATGGTATTTTTATCAGACAACAAATAGAATATTTTATTAATATCAAAGAGATRTATACATCATAGACTTAAAATGGTGTATAACCTCAGCTATTCTTCTATTTCATTCTAGCAAGGGTCATGAATCTCTAATATGGACCAATGCTTGAATGAAATGCTGAAGTAAATAATAGAAAGAAAAAAAAAATATTTGAATGAAATGCTGGTGAAAATCCAAAACTCCAAACACCCGAGGATTGATTACCAGGTCTTCATCCACATGCAACTTCCAGAATGAAGACACCAAACCTGTAGACATATGATTCCTCGGTGGCCCTACTAGAGAGGCTACACTCTGGAGCTGCTACTAATTTAGCTATTTTCTCTCCTCTAAATTATTTTATTGCAACCAACTCTGAGTATTGGGCAATCCTCAGGGGCTTAAGGAAAGAAAAGGAGCTGAATGCTGCATCAGTTGTTATTCATACTGATGCAAAGATCATGATACGGAAAACTCTTTTTTTGGTCTGAACCGTGCTTAATCGATGCAATATGCCAGACCTTACCATCTTCTTTTGTTTTCTGTAAATTGGTGTATGTAATGAGAGTGCAAAAAGTAATGGTTCATGTAGTAACAAACCCGAGAGATCCAAATTTGATTCGACATCTAATGGGTGTCTAAAAAAAATAGACTAGAATTCAATTCATTTAAATACGACAATGTTTGATTTGAATCTGAACCCATTGAAATATCAGTAAAAATGTATAAAAATTAGCATAAAATTGTAACATTAGATATAAAACAAATATTATATAGCATACAAAAAAAATAGATTTATTTAACCGCAAAGGTTTTCACTTGGAATAAGGATTTAAATCTGTTTCATCACTGCTATCTAGGACTCCTTCAAAGATCTCTCTGAGAACCCTTGTTAGATCAGTTAATAGGTGCAGATGCTTGAGATACAGCCTTAAGGCTCAGTCTCAACTGTCTCGATGACTGCCACCAAAAATTAAAAAATAAATAAATAAATAAAAACAGAGATAGCGTATCGGGTGGAAGAACTGAAACAACCAAACTCCAACTTTCACAACGCTGCAGACAGAACAATATACTTAAATAGGAATAAATTAAATAACGAAGTTTGGAGGGGGAATCTGATCTAAGAAAAAGCCACATTAATATCAATAGCCTGCAACAATTTCCCGAGGAAACAACTCAAAGCAATAAGGAGGAGAAAAAATGATAACTGCAACTTTGCGGATTCGAAATGAAAAATGAAAACTGTTTGGTCAAGTCGTATACAGACATCAATTACAACCTTCAAAGCCAAGAACGTGGAAAGTGAAATCTAAAACACATGAAGTAAAATCTAAAATCGAGACGGCTGAGTCTAAAAAGCATAGAGAAAATATTCTGAGAAACAGAGCGAGAAAAACGATACCTTGAGACAGAGAGGGAGAAATCTGGAGGAGGAGTTGAGAAGAAATAGCCAACGGGCCAGCAGATTCTTCAAATGGGAAGAGAATGATTCTGACACAGGGTGTGCGAGAGAGAACCACACCCTGCCCATCTTAAGCCTCGTTCGCCAATCCAATGAACTGTGCTCGATGTTTTAATGGCAGAACCGTGCAACAGAGAATGCTCCGTTAGGCATGTGTTTATAAACTAAAAGTCTCTCATCTTCTACTACGCAGAAACCCAGAGTTCCGCCAACTTGACCTTCATAAAGGGTTTCTGGAACAACGAAACCTGAGCAAGCTTGTGACCCCTCAAGCACTCCATAGCCAACTACTATCTTCATACTTTCCAGCCCCATACTTCCTCTTGCGAAGGCGACGACTTGGCCTCTTGCTCAAACCACCACAGTTGGACCCAAGAGGCCTACCGCAGAGCCCGTTGTTGCCGTCGAAGCCAGCGGCATCGAAATCGGAAAAGCAGAGAATCGTACCGGAGAGACGGTTATTAGCAACCGAGAACTTCTTGAGACGAGTAAGACAGGAGAGCTCATAAGGGATTGAACTGGAGAGACGATTGTTGGCAAGTTTAAGACTATTGAGAAACTTGCAATCGACGAGCTCAGGAGGGATCGAACCAGAGAGGTCGTTGTTGGAGAGAATCGGAGAAATAGAGAGGACTGAGATGAGAGGGAGAGCGGGAAGAAGTTCTGGAATCAGGAGAGAGAGAGAATGCGGGGTGAGGACCGAGGAGAGAAGTGGAGAAACAGAGAGGCAGAAATGAGAGGGTGAGCGGGAAGAAAGATGAAAAAAGTAGATACATCACACACGTTACGCATGCAAAATGGAGGGAGAGAGACCTCACGCATCGATCACACGTACAGTTCATTGATCTAATGCCAATTCATTTTTCTCTCGTGCGATCATTGATGTGGATAGGGGTGCTCTCACGTGGGAATCTACTCTGCTGCACGGATAGAACACATATAGATACATAATAGTTTGATTATTTTTGGATTGTATTTGGTAACGTGGGTGCTTTTTTGGTCCCTTTTATTTTATTTTTTAATTCCCACGCCCAAGATGGTCCATGTTAATCTCTTTGGTATTCTTTCTGTTTTTGCTAGGTAAGCTGCGTAAGCAGCAAGTAATGTTTTTTACTTTTTTTTGTTGTTTGGTAAGATGATTTTTACAGAGTTATTAGGAGTAACGATTTGTCGATGCATAAAATGTTAAATTTGATGTTTTGTCACGGGGCTAGTCATTGGGGCCCGTGCGGCACTCGAATGCGACGAATAAGTCTAAGCAACAAGTAACAATACAAGAAAATGCAGCAAAGATGGCACATGAATTAGATAAAAAGACATTGTATTGCATTAATGGATGGCAAGCATAAGCACACAGTTCAGTGTCGAGGGGATCTCATGTTTAATCTTTACATGCTCTTGATTCACCCGACTACCTACCTCCCCTCAAAGAGTACGTTAAGCTTTCGAGGGAGTGACAATAAGAAACATCAGAAAGATAAAAAGTCATACTATAGAATTACAATAATGCCATTGGAAATCCTCCCATACAAAACATATGCAATGTTCCACCCAAGACACACACTTGGACACTTGGAAGGCGTGTTGTGGGCATGGTGATGGCACTTGAAGGCGCGGAAAAATTGTCCCTTGTGACATTCTCCCCCACTCAATTCCGTCTTCATCCTCGAAGACCAGTTTTTGCTTGTGGCTTGAAGTTCTTGTTGGTGGAGGAAGGTTCTTTAACTACTCCACGGATAGGGTTTCTTCCAAGGCCCAGATAAGAGGTTGGGTAGATGGCTTGTGGATGTTCTTGATGGTGGGAAAACCTATGGCTAGTTCCTATGGTAAGTCCTTGCCAGGCTGCTTCAAGGTAGGATTTTGGTTGCTCTACTTTGGTGTTAAGAAGGTTTGTGGCCAGGGCTAGGTCAAAATGATATTTTGGATTGTTAGGGTGTTAGTTCCCATGCATTTTTCCCCAAGGGTGACTCACAGGGCTACTACGGGATTTAGCCTGAGGGATGATGTGAATGTGGTCCCTAAATGGCTTGGGTGGCACTCGCTCTCCCCGGTGGTTGTGGTAGTAGATGTGGACAAGGTTTGACATGGCCTTGGGTCTTATGTTGGGCCCATCACTTACAGGTGCTTGCGGCTTCTGCTGCGAAGTTGACTTCTGCTGATGTGGTTGGCGCTGAAGTTGATGCTGCTGCTGGTGTTGACATGGGCGCTGGCATCGGTGTTGGCGCTGAAACTGGAACTGTCTTGGGGGTGACTTCTTCCTGGTGACGACTTCCCAACCCGTTCCAGTGTTGATGTGGGATGATTGGCAAGGGGTCTTCCTTGTTGTCGTGGTGCTGGCTTCATGGTTTCTTGTTTCTTGGTACAACTGCAAGGCTGAAAGCTGCTTCCCGAGTATCTGCAGGGCTGGTGATACAGAAACCATGCAAGGGGAGTGCTGATCCAAGATAAGTAAGCTGTTGATGTGTGGCATAAGTGCTGTTTCCGCCTCCGTGAGGAACTCCACTCCAAGAACAACCTGAAAATCATCGAAGGGTACTACAGATAGATTGATGGGTCCTTTCCATGGTCCGACTTGGAGTTCTACTCCACAAGCCATGCCCTTTACTGCTTTGGCCCCTGAGTTGATAGCCTTGACCCACCCTGTTTGTTCGGTGGTGGTCAAGCCGAGTCGCTTTGCCTCTACAAGCGAAATGAAGTTGTGGGTGGCCCTAGTGTCCACCAAGGCTTGGGTCGGCCTCCCGCCGAGGGTGATGTCTATGTAACTCAACCCCTTGTAGGCTTTGGTGGGCCGCTTGGATGTGGCCTCTTTCTTAACCATGGCGTTGATAAGCTGAAGGGTGCCTACTCTTGGCGCCGCTGGGGTTTTCTCCTCATCGCTCTCTTCATCATTACTGAGTTTGGCGATGAGGGCATTGACCTTCTTCCGCACAGGACAGTCGCTAGTCCAATGCTTTACATTGCGAAAGTAACAAGGAGCGAGAGGAGTAGTTGGTCTCCTGATGTATCGATGGCCTTGATAGCTTTGGGCTCCTTGTGGCTTCTTCCCTTGTTAGTGATTGACGGGCTTGTCAGTGTGCACTGGCTTCTCCTTTGTAGAGGTTGATTGTCGATCTCCCCCACTCAAACTCATGGTATGTGGGTTGGATGGCTTTTGCTCTTCTTCCTTAGGTGCTCTCAGATCAACAAGCTGCTCAGCTACGGCCATGGCGGTGGCGAGGTCCTCAACCCCACATCGTTGGAGTTCAAGCTCAGCCCATGGCTTGAGACCGTCCATGAAATTGAACAGGAGATCCTTGTCTGACATGTCGGAGATCTCCTGCATCAAGGTCGAAAACTCTTTGACATAGTCATGTAGTGATTCTTGATGTCTGAGATTCTTCATTCTTCGATGCGCCAAGTACTCCACATTTTCAGGGTAGAACTGACGTTTGATCTCAAGCCTGAATCCGACCCAGGCGTCGATGGTGCGGATTCCACATTCAATGTCTTGGCAACACCTACGCCACCATAACATTGCGATATCAGTCAAATACATAGCGGTTGTACGTACCTGAGTTTGGATGTCAATGATGCCAGTGGCAAAGAAATATTGCTCCAATTGCCACAAGAAGTTGTCAAGCTCCCTAGCATCCTGAGCACCCGAGTAAGGTGTTGGCTCACGGATCTTGATGTTCATGGAAGCTAGGGTGGAGGGAGTGCTAGGTGAGTTGGCCACCGCCCTCTTTAGGAGAGTCATCTCGTCTCTCATCTCGTCCAATTGTGCTTGAAATTTGTCTAGCAAACCCTATAGGCTACTTTGGAAAGGCCCTGCTCCCGAATTTTGTATGGTGGTGTGCATGTCTCTAAAGGCGCCATTGAAACGTCCTTCTAGTTCCACCACTGCATTCTCAACAGTCTCTAGGTTGAGGTGGAGTTCATTGACCTAATCTCGGATTTCTCCCACTGTTGCCTCGCAACGTAGGAGGTGCATGTCCATGCTAGCTAGTTGGTCGACTGATTTGTCGTGCTTGCTAGCTTTAGTTGTGTGGCCCTTTGGGGCTTGTGTCTTGGTAGGTTCGTCAAGTGGAGCTTCATCAGTGTTATGGGCTTGGAGCCGCCCGTGTGGTGTGTCATCAACAATGTCACGGTTGCTCTTCATTGTGCTGAAGTAGGGGCGAAAACAGGGTCCAATGTATGAGTAGGAGCTCCTGCTCTGATACTAACTGTCATAGGGCTAGTCATTGGGGCCCCGTGCGGCACTCGAATGCGACGAGTAAGCCTAAGCGACAAATAACAACACAAGAAAAGGCAACAAAGATGGCACACAAATTAGATAAAAAGGAAAATTATATTGCATTAATGGATGGCAAGCATAAGCACACAGTTCAATGTCGAGGGGATCTCATGCTTAACCTTTACATGCTCTTGATTCACTCGACTACCTACCTCCCCTCAAAGAGTACGTTAAGCTTTTGGGGGAGTGACAATAGGAAACATCAAAAAGATGAAAAGTCATACTACAGAATTACAATAATACCATTGGCAATCCCCCCATACAAAACATATGCAATGTCCCACCCAAGACACACACTTGGACACTTGGATGGTGTGCTGTGGGCATGGTGATAGCACTTGAAGGCGCGGAAAAATTGTCCCTTGTGACAGTTTGGTGCATTGAGTATCGTGATTTACAAGATGTAGGCATTTTTTATTGTTTTTTTAAAAAACGCCTGAACTAAATAGCATTATAGGCGACAAAAAACGAAAATGTGAGATGGCTCCGACATAGCACCATTTTTTGATAAATGGCATCGATAGCAAACATCCCCTTACCCTTAGTTTAACTTATTATTGAATATCATAGTTTTCAAAGTGACAATACGAATCTAGGCTAGAGGGGAGAGCTTAGTCACTTAGTGGCCTATGTGCCCACCTAAGCATGTATGTCTTAGAAAATAAGGACAACAAGGTGATGAGCCCCTATTTTTGTCATGGTCAAAGCCTTATTCTTGTCTTAAAAAACGGAAAGGAAAAAAATTGAAAATGATGGTGAAGAAGCTCCTGTTTTTTTCCAAGAGCCTATGTCTTCCAAAAAAAAAGAAGGAATGATTTCCCTGTTTTTTTGTCTAGAGGAGCTCTTTGATTTTCCTTGATTCTTTATCACTCAAACCATGACAAAAGTACCTATCGAACTTGTTTTTGTCTAAGAAACTTAAAATATGAAACTTTGAAACTTTTTATATAACTCATATGATGATGTTTGGGCAAAACCATGGTTTTTAAAACCGACCCAGAGACTGAACCGGTCAGGGGTCTGGTTATCGGGTTGAATGGTTCAATCGTTTAAATAGAATGATCGGCCCGTTCTGACAAAAAAAATAAAAAAATTTAAAAAATGGTCAAAACCGTTCAAATGGTTAACCGGTTGAGTCAACGGTTTGCTGACCAAAATCAATGGTTTTTGAGAAAATCCAGTTTTGGGGGAAACGAAACCAATCACTTAACTGGTTCCTGATTTTTCCAGTCCGACCATCCGGTCCGGTCTGATTTTGAAAACTATGGGCAAAACAAGCCCCAAAAAACGCTTATAGGCCTAGGCCATTAGGCATAGCCTTGACAAAAAATATGCTGAATATAATAAAATGAAAGTTAATATGGATATCTATACGATCATACATGGAGGTTCATGTTTTTTTTTTTTTTCTTTTTTTTTGGATCCTTCCTATGTGTAGAGCGCTGAATTCGTCGCATGGTTTTTAAAACCGACCCGGAGATTGAACCGGTCAAGGGTCCGATTATCGGGTTGAACAGTCTGATCGTTCAAACTGAATGCTCGGCCCGTTCTGAAAAAAAAATAAAAAAGTTTAAAAAATAAAAAAATGATCAAAACTGTTCGAACGGTTAACCGCCCGGTTCAGCGATTCGCTGACCAAAATCAATGGTTTTGGAGGGAAATTCGATTTTTGGGGAAAAGGAACCGGTTCCCTATTTTTCCAGTCCAATCGTCTGGTCCGGTCCGATTTTGAAAACCATGATTCAGCGAGTTGAACACAATTCCATGTTTTCTAAGGTTATTTTAGACGAGAGTTGCACGTTTTTAACAAATTAGATTTGGGCTGAATAAATAGATAAAGTTCTATTTAGGCCCGTTTGTTTTTTTGGGTAAGTTATTTATTCAGGTAAATGCAATTCTCTGGGTAATTTTTTTTTTTGAGAAACATTTATCTGGCTAAGTGCATTTACCCATGTTTTTTTATTTATCAGGTAAATAAGGTAATGATCATTTTAATCATAAAAATTCATTATTAAAAGGGGCATTTTTATCTCATTCAAGTGTTAACAACTTTTCTCCTAGATGGAAAAATTATTTACCCACCTAGGTGATAAGTAGGAAAATAAACTTTGGTTGATCAAAAATAAATATGAGATTTTTGGTCAAAGGGAATCAAAATCCCATTGACCAACTTTTTCGGCTCTCAAAATCCCAATAAAGAATGCTCCTTAGGCTGCGGTTAGTAGAGGTGTAAAATTGAATTGGGATAAACTTTACACCTCGGTTCGTTTGTGCATAAATTTGGTAAACATGTAATTTTGCGTAAATTTGCATAAAAATCTATGTAAAATTACATTTAATCTTTTAATTACATTGATAATTGATGTAATAAATACATCGAAAAATTTGGATGTATTTATTACATTTCTCTCTCTCTTTCCTTCTCTCTTCAAAAAAGAGGCGGCAATCTCTGGAAGCTATCACTCTCTCTCTCTCTTTCCTTCTCTCTTCAAAAAAGAGGCGGCAATCTCTGGAAGCTATCACTCTCTCTCTCTCTTTCCTTCTCTCTTCCTCCGATGAGAACAGAGAGGCGGCGATTTCTGGCAGCTTTCGCTCTCTCTCTCTCTTCTTCTTCTTCTTTGTCTCTCTTCCTCCGACAATAACAGAGAGGTGGCGATCTCTGGAAGCTTTTCCATCATCTGTTTTTGGGTTTGATACGCCGGTTGCAACACCCGGCAAGGACTGCAACCCAATCACTAGACGAGAATGAAAACAGAGAGGCTCATTGCAACCCGGTCTGATACACCTGTTGCAACACCCGGCAAGGACTGCAATACCCGACGAGAACGAGAACAGAGAGGCGCTCACGTACAAGAGCCTCTCCTGTTGCAATACCTAGTCACCAGTTTATGGGTCTGATATGCCGTTCGTGGTGCTCTGTTTCTTGGCCGACCGGCAAGGATTGTAATTTCTAGGTTGCAGTGGACTTTTACCTCGGTTTCCTTGTGTTCATCGTCATTTTGTTCACAGCACCATCCACAACCATTGTTTCCGCTCCCCCTCTCTCTCTTCCCCTTTCCATCTTCTTCTTCTCTTCCCCTTCTTTCTTCTTCTTTTTCGTTGTCGTCCTCATACATTTTAACTGTTACACCAGGTGAATGCAAAAGATAACCGGTGATCCTTCAAACAAAGATCAGTGTAAAACTTTTACATGACCGGTTCATCTTCTACACTTATCTGATGGGCCGTTTTTTAAATACATCGGCAAGGATTGTAAGCTTTAGTGAAGGGCTAAACCCTGGCATCGATCTTTATAAGCACGCGACATGCCTAGTATGACAGCGATGATGTGATGGTTGCTGTGGTTGTGTTTTTTCGGGTGAACAATTTATAGGCTTTTAATTATTCATAAATCACTCTGTGGAATAGTAATAAATGATTTAAGTGCTAATAATAATAATAATAATGATAATGATAGGCAATACAGAGTTCTGGCTTAAAATCTAATCTTACTAGCTATAGAGAGTAATACGTTCTAGTCCTGACTCCTGAGGGGGCCGGGTTGTATCATGTATGCATTTGCACTTCATTTGGTCCTCTTGTTTCTCACCTTCAACTTTGTTGCCCTTTTTCCCCTTCCTCTTGAATTTCTTCACACTTTATTAATCTCTCTCCTTGGGATTTAGTAGCTTTGGCTTCGTCTTGTTCCTTCTTTTTTGTTTGTATGAATTGGAGAAGGCCTGTGAGTACAATTTCAGGACTGTCATTCTTCATGAATTCCTCGGCCACTTCAGCAGGTGTGACCTCCGTCTCCTTGATCAATTCATCAATCTCTGGAAAGAGGGAGTGCTCAGATATCCCAAGGTAATTAGAGGCAAGTAGCCTAAAACCGCTAGGAGTGCAGTAGGACATATGGATGTGCATGTCCATGCGGCCAGGGCGAAGTAGGGCGGGGTCTAGCCGATCCTTATGGTTGGTTGTGAACATTATGATCCTTTCATCTCCACAACTTGACCATAGTCCATCAATGAAATTGAGCACCCCTGACAGGGTCACTTTCTGCACATTTCAGTCAAAGCTTGTGTGAGAGAGAGATACAGATACATACATACCTAATCCCTATATATAAACACAAATGAATCATTTCTAAATGAATAGGTGATGAGGGGCTAAGCTAGAAGACAATTTCTGACCCAATCCATCCGACCCTGGATATGAACCAATGATCAATTGGGTTGATCTAAGTGGATAAGGTTATGGTGTTATGGGTATCCCCTTTCGGTCGGTCAACCTCTTTCTTCTCTCTAGTAGACCAATAATATGACCTGACGTTGTAACCACCGTAAATGAGTACTTAGAAATTTTTGGGACACTTATCCTTTAAAATACCCTTAGCCTATCTTTGAAAAAGATTAATACCCATTTTTGATAGTTGTCAAAATATTTATGAAGTGCTCATTTGAAGTGCTTAATAGATTTAGTCCCTTTATGGATAGGCTGTGTATTTATATTTTTTCATTTTAAACAGTTTTTAATTTGTACCTCACATTAATACCTATTAAAGTGTGACACATCAGTATTTGGTTTCAAGAAATATTAGGGCATTGAGGGAAATAAAAATTTTATATTTCCTCAAATGCCCCATCCACAAAAATCAAAATATTTCAATTTTCTAACTTTTATTTTGCTTCGTATCCCCTACACTTATATGGCTCTGATGTGGTGGTGTTTTTTCAATAACGTGACAATAACGCCGACCGAACCAAACACATCAGTTTAAACACACAATTGGCGGTGGTTCGTATCTGAGAGAGATGACTTCAAGTGAGAAACTAACTAACCTCGCTATCTTGACGAAAGCCATTTACGTAGAATTTGGATCTTTCATCAGCTGCGCCTTGTCGATCTTCCAAATCAATACTGCAATCAATGTCCTCAACGACAATTATCGAACGGTTGGCTGTTGCGACCAGCAACCTCCTTAGCTCCGAGTTGCAACGGACATCGGTTAGCTCCAAGTCGTACACGTCGAAGTTGAGGTAATTGGCCATAGCAGCAACCAAGCTCGACTTACCCGTCCCCGGAGGGCCGTACAACAAATACCCACGTTTCCAAGCCTTTCCTACCCTCCTATAGAATTCTCTCCTCCTCACAAACCTCTCTAAATCCTCCATTACTGCCTTCTTGAGCTCCGAATCCATCGCCACCGTCTCAAACGTTGCAGGATGATCCAGGTTAATGGAAGTCCATGCATCTCCCCTGCTTCCATAGACGCGGTCGAATTGCAGCGTGAATAGCTTCAGTGTCTTGTTCTCTTGTTTCATCTCCTTGGACTCCCTTAATATGTGATGCAAGTAAGAACCCAACACCTTATCCTTATGTTTCTTGTGAAAAGTGAGCTCAAAGGATCGGACTTCGGATCGTACCGTCGAGTTGAAATTGTAGGGGTTGTTGTAATAAGGCGACGAAGATTCGACAAGGCTGCATACAAATCTCCACTTGAACTGTACACCGTCGAAGACATCTACTATCTCTTCGTTTTTCTCCATAGCGACGATGAAATTATTCTCTTTTTCGGGTTTGCTCACCTTTAGTCTTCGAGTGGAGGGGGAGAACTTGGGGCCCAAGTAGATCTCGGCAGCCTGGTAGATTTGATTGTTGGTAAGCCCATCGAATTCTTGGATGACAATGGTCAATTCCGAGGAGAAACGAGTGAGGATGCTTCGTAGGCCGGAGAAGACATAGTGTTGTACCTCATGAGGTAAGAAGTCGTGGACTATTGACCGAACAAGCATCACCGACGCTGCCAGAGACGCTGCTGCGGATAAAACTGTTTTAGTTGAAGGTATGTTTGTATTGGAAAACATTGTTCTGGTATTGGGGTATTCAACAATTCCAAACACTGTACTGATCACTCTCTCCTTCTCTCTCTCAGACACAATACCACACACACAAAAGTAGTCTCAATTCTCAAGAATAAGAATTTCTTAGGTTTGGTCGATGATTTGGTGGTCCTTTTATAAACAACAAGATAGTCTTGTATATATTGATGAACTATGTTAATTGGGAGCTGATTGTCAGATTGACTAATTGACCCTTTACCGTGGGGTTGGGGTCAGTGGAACCCTTCAAGAAATTACCTGGAAAGAGCAAACATATATAACAAGTTAATTATGAAAGTATGAGTTACGTTAAAGTAGAACAAATTAAGCTCAGTATATCATATTATTATTTCCTTCCCCACTCGAGAACAAATTACTATTGGATTGTAAGTAAATTTATTTTTAGGATACAATAGAATGTTGGGTGAGAAACTACAACCAGTAAAATTAAAGAATCTCTAAGGAAATATTTTGTGTTGTAAAAATTTATATGTTTAATGGATTGAATTATTTTTTGATTCATAGTTAGTTAACAATTAATGATTGTTAACATTTAAATGATATCCTTTAATTACATTTAATTAAGTCATGACCATTGGATTTAACTTGAAATATTAATGATCATGTTTCGGCTTCCCATATCAGATGTTATTTGTGATTTGCGATTGCCATATTGCAATGGCAAGACTTTGTAGTGTTTGTGTATATATATTTATTTATATGTATTTGTATGCACGTATTTAAATGTTAAGATTTTCTCTAATGTGATACAGGTATGCTACTTTTAAAACCACATTACTTTGCCCATATATATATATATAGCTAGTTTTAGTTAAAAAAAATGAGAAGTCTTTTCTTTTTTCTAAAAGCAAAATAAAGAAGGAAATTGGGCTAGTTAAAAGTTAAAACCCAATTCCACTTGGACTGGGTTAGGACCTAAATGGTTAAACTTAAAACTGATTATACAGCTGCCTTTCCTTGACTTCTAACTTTCGTTATTTTAGGCAAAATCCTAGAAGTTTGGGTTTGGACTTTAGAGAACTAGGATACGATCATTTGCAACCTATGGTCCAAAGCTTACCATGGAACCCTTAATAAATTGACTCTGTCAAAACGACAAATATATTGCATCGGATGGCTATATTTATTAAAACCATCTCCTTTTGGTCTATTTTCTGCCTCCTGTGTCAAACGGGTCAATTAATTGCAATTACATTTCAATGCAACGGCGGGCAGGAGCACTTTTCTCTGTCAAAAAACAATAGCAAAACAAATCGGGCCAGTTCCACCTCCACGGGTTAGTAATGGGCTGGGCCTCCCAAGCCAACCCTGTCCAACCCAAACGGAGGTCCACCTGAACCGAGTCTCTGACTCTGAGTGCCAGACTTTGTGTCTATGTGCTTGCTTCTGCCGCAACCTTAGGGCCTGAAGTTGGGTTAAGACAAAGTTATGCAGTTCTTAATTTAATCCGATGGTCCAGCCCAGCCAATGCAAGAAGTCATTTACATGTTCGACACATTGCCTAATTATATCAAATACGGCAAGCACTATTCGACCTTCAGACCATCACCTAGTGTGGATTCCTTGACCTATGAGTTGACCCAGCAAAGGGATACTTTTCTTAATTTTGTGGTAGTCATTTCATTCCGGGAAACAAATTTCTAGCACAAAATATGACGACCGACTTATTATTGTGGTCTTTCATTTGAGATTTTGGTCATTGTCTCTTGCCAGGAGATTGGTTTTAGAAGCTCAAAAGAAGCTTCCAACAACTTGAAACAAGTTCCCATCAAAACAGGAAACCAAGTTGCCAGTAAGTTGGGGTAGGAGTGCAAGTCGGGCGGTCTGGTTAGGTTTTACCTCAACCCATGTCCAATCATTAGAATTGGGCCTTAAGTCCCAAGTCTGGCCTGAGCCCAAAGTCAAGCCTATATTATCTAATCTGTGCCCAATCTATAGTAAAATTTGATGTATTTAGGTTAGGTTGGGTTACGCTCAGATTGATCATATATTATATGCAATTAAGTGTATATATATATATACATATAAATACTTGGGCTGGATTAGGACCAACCGATCAAGTTTGGGCTAGTTAAGGGTTATAGGTTAGCTCAAAAAATTAAAAAGTTCAAACTTTTTCCCGAGGCCAATCTGAGGACCCAAAATTCAAGTCCAGCCTGTATAAAATTGTGGGATAGATTGATCGGGCTTGGGCCAAATTGTACTCCTAGTTTGGGAGTCCGGATTCGGTGCGTTTGGAATTGAAGAAATTTTCTCTTCGAGTTAACACATCATTCGTGTTTAGTGGACCATCACCTACACTACAGGCTACAACCGATTAAAGCTTTAAAACTGACAACAATATTTATAAACAAAAGTTATTAAGTTAATACCGACAGAAAATTCTGAAGCCCTCATGTTTTATGTTCTCTCTGTTCTCAAACTCAAACCTTGCTCTGCTCCCCAACCCAACCATTAACCTTCACCAACAGTGTCCAAACCTCAACAAAAAGTAACTATGAATTTTAATGGCAACGTCAGCGGAAAGTTTCAAACATCAAGAGTGTTCAAAGGAAGCTGCTAGCCGCTATCTGTGTTTAGGGTTTTGTTCACAAAACTAGAGAGAGAGAGAGAGAGTCAAACACTTTATTTCTTCCATCATCTGGCGAAGGCTCCATCTGTTCATCATCTTTATTTTTCCCTTTTCCAAGATTAAACAAGACTTTGAACCAGTTAACTATCGGATTATGGATTTTACACTCCCAAGACATTGTTCTTTTTTCCCCAAATAACAGCACAACTAACGTTGAGAGCATCAGCTTCTCCATGGATTTCCAGCATTTCACTGACCCCATGGGATGGGATATAGATGGCCCTTATCAATTTGATATACTTGAGAGCATCAGCTTTCTTGATCCGGGCACTGCCTTCATAATCTTCATCCGTGTCGTAGGTCGCAGTGCATCAAATGCCACACGTTTCCGCTTGTCAGGAGGGCCACTACAGATGGGATCCACAACAGCATAGAACATACTCAAATCCACCCCTACCTGAGTCTGCAGCATCCAATCCAATTCAGATAGAATCTTTTCATTGATAGCTTTTACAGCTCCTTGGAAAGTCTCTGGCTTCAAGAAACTGAGCAATTTGCGGAGAATTCACTCTAGTGCAGCCTTGCGGATGGATTAATTTCTCAAGAGCACCAGGATTCCAGAATAGGAAACCGGAACCTCTGTTTCAGTCATTTCCTTCTTCAGAACATCCACATTTTAACGGTCCGTTCAACCTAGTGAGCCTTTGGAAAGCTCTGATTGAAAGAACATTTGCCAATTCCTGCCTCGTCGTAGTCTTCAGGCCCACTCTCTTAAACTTTGACAGCTCCACCACAAGAAAAGCACTCTCCCCTTCAGCACGTCCGTTTCCCTTGAACCTCTTTTCCTGCAGTTGTTTCAAATGAAAACCTCCTTTAGGGCTTTCATGGCTTCATCAGTCTCTCATCTCCTAACAAGGACACTGCTTTGTTGAGTTGCGTCCGCCAATGATTTGACCACATAGCCAGTACCCTAGTATATATCTCCGAGGCTCTCTGCTACCTTCCCATATCCAAGTAAAGCCCATCCAAATTGTAGAGAGCTTCCAAATGCCCTGGCTTCAAATCAATGGCCTTCTAAAACTCCTGAACTGCCTTATTACAAAAGAGATGGTGGCCAGGTCAAATCTAGGTATCAAATAGCCCCTCGCCCATTTGGGAGATGAAAACCGCCACAAAAACAGGGAAAAAAAGACAACGAACAATGATTCCATTATTGGAGTTGGGTTCATTGAGAAGGAAAGATGAAAAACAACACAGATAGCAGGCTAGCAGTTTTCCTTTGAAACACCGTTGCTGTTGCCGTTAAAACCCATAGTTGTTGTTCTGTTGCAGTGTCGTTGACGAAGGTTAATGGTTGGGTTGGGGGAGCAAGGTTTGAGTCTGAGAACATAGAATGTGAGGGCTTTGGAGTTTTCCGTCGATATTAGTTTTTGTTTATAAAAAATAAAAATTTTATAACTTATCAATTTTTTATTTACAAAATACAAATTTTATTAAACTTCAACGTAGGCTGTAAACAGTATTCGAAAATCCGAATCTGAATCCAAGATTCGGTATATAATCAAATCGAATCGAACCTTACCTCTCTCTCTCAAGTTTCAAAACCCTAAAACCCTAACCCTCCATCACTCCCTTCGTCGTCGCTGAATGCCGCCTGAACAATCACCATCAGTCCATCTGGTCACCACCCCTCATTGTCCGAGCAACCACCAGCCCTTCACCGGATGCCGTCATCGCTTATCTAGTCATCTTTCCTCTATCTCTCTTCTCTTAGAGTCTCACCGTCTTAGCGAGACAGAGACCCGCCGCCCAAGCAACCATCATCACCAACAGTAACGTCAGTGATAGCGGCCGAGCACGGGTCACCGGCCATAGCTCAAGCTCAAGCTCAACGCTGTCTCCTTAGCCACTGCTCAAGCTCAAGCAACCCTCAACTGTGTAGCATCACTGAGCTTCTGCTGCAACCCACGATTGCCATTGGGAACCCATTGTATTTGCACCACTGGGAACCCATGCCATCACACACTCACACTTGGCTCATCACCAGGAACCCATGCCTACTGCCGTCAATCCCTTGCCTCTTTTCTTAAGGTAATTTGACTTTCATAGATTTCATGGATTACATATTGATTTATTGGTTTATGAGCTAGATTTTTCAATTTATTTTCCTATGCTAAATTTCTAATGAGATAGAATGGATTACAAATTTTTGATAGTGATTTAGATAATGATTTATTGGTTTTTTGGTTTCTGGTTATGAACTAGATTTTTCAAAATAAATGAGATAGAATAGATTATAGATTTTTGAATTCTGACAGTGTTTTAGATAAGGATTTATTGGTTTCTAGTTATGACTTATGAGCTAGATTTTTTAGCTTAAATGAGATAGAATAGATTACAGATTTAGGAATTGGTTTAACCTTGATAGTAAAGTGGTTATGTCGCAAATTTTTTTGTCCTAATTCCTAAATGATATTGTG